AAGGAGAGTGAAGGGGGAGCACAGCCCAATACATCCCCCCCCCATACCCAGCGGGACCCTGCCATGGAGCAAAGGATACTGAGAGATGCTACCCAGGATAGGCAATCCCCAATCCCTAATGCCACCTGCCATGGGACCCCCTACCAAGGAGCAAAAGATTCTGGGAGCTACTGCCCAGCAGAGATGTCCACCGGATAGTGCTTCAGAAGCAAAGGATTCCGGGGGACGCGACCAGGAGCAGTGGGGACCCCACGCTAAGGATGGAACCACCCCCCACACACCTGCTGATGTCCTTCAGCTGCTCCAGCCGCCCCCTCAGCTGTGCTACGCTGCCCTGCAGCTGCTGGCGTTCCTTGGCCAGGCGGGCCGCATAGGCCTTGAGGCAGCAGGGAGCGGCGCTGGGCGTCACGGATCCGCTCCTGGGCCGCCTCCAGGGAGACCTCTGCGGGGGTCGGAGCAGAAAGACCATCAGGGAAACCTCACCCCAAGCCCCAGACGCTAACTACAAGGCCCCACTCCCCTCCCAGAGCTGGGGATAGAACCCAGGAGTCCTGGCTCCCAGCCTCTCCCACCCCCCTGCCCCCGCTCCCAGAACCCAGGAGTCCTGAGGTGATGGGTGTGAACCCCACAGGTGATTGTCTGGGGAGGGACCATGGGGGAAAATCAGCAGCCCCAGGGGCCACGGGGAACCTTGCGGATGGGGAAGAGACCACGTGGGGAGATGCTACCCCCAAAGACGGCAAGGCAAGGGAACAATCCTGCCCCCGCCCCCACAAAAGAAATGGGGGGAAATGGATTTGGCTGCAGGGGACCCATCCCACTGGGTGTTGGGGAGAACAGATGGGAGGACTGGGGTGGACTTTGTGCCCCCCCACCCCCAGAGCAATGGCCTGGGGTAGAGCCTGGAGGCACAGACTACGCCGCCTCCCAGATCCTTGGGGCTCCCCCTTACCGTCAGCCATGACCTCGCTCTGGGCTGTCTCCCATCTGCAGGTCCAGCTGCTGCAGCTCCCCACGCAGGCGGGCCACGCCCTGGGCAAGCTGCTGGCGCCGCTCCCTGCTCTGGTTCTGACCCACTGGGCTTTCCCCTGTGTGGAGGGGGAGACACCGACTGCTACAGACCCAGGCATCCTGCTCATCCCACGGCAAGGCCCCTGTTCCACCCTGCAGCACCCCAATCCCAATCCCCCACCCTCATCTCCCAGATCCACAGCTCAGCAACAAGGCACCCACTCTCCCCCACCCTATCCCATGCCATAGGACCCCTCTGCACCACGATCCCACCCCGACTCACTTCCCACCCACTGCTCCCACCCTATTCCACCCCGCAGCACCACCTGATCCTCACCTTGCCCCACGACCCCATCCCCTACCCTGACCCACTCTATCCCATCTCACAGCACCCCGATCCCCTTCCCCGCCCCTCCAAATCCAGATTACCATCCCCTACCGACTCCCCCACCCGCCACAGCAACACCCAATCCCATCCACAACACCCGTCCCGTCCCATCCCACCCACAGCCCTCACCCACACGCCCCTATCCACCCAGCAGTCTCCACCGGCCCCCTCACCTCTGCCTCCTCCAGATGCTGGTACCTGAGGCAAGGCCTGAGTAAAGGAGGCTGAACGTAGAGAGTGACAGAGGCCTGGACAGACGGACAGACACACAGACGTCAGGGAGAGCTCGGAGCCAGCAGGCTTCGAGGTCCAAGGCCAGGAGACAGACGCCAGCCAAGGGTCGGCAAGGAAATTAAACCCGCTCCTATAGGGCATAGGGGACACCGGGCTGGATGGGCCCAGGGGCTTGGTCTAGGCAGGGACGGGGCAGGACACTGGGCTGGATGGGCCCCTTGGTGAAAAAGCTGCCCATAGTAACAAGCCCCCACGGCAAAGGGGAACGAGGAAAGGATACCACAGCAAGTTCCCTCGGATCTTCTTCACATTCCTGTGAGGAAAGAGAGAGGGGTGAATCTACTGCAGAAGCAGCAATGGCTCTGGGAACAGAGGGGGTCCAGTGGTTAGAGCAGAGGAGGACGGGAGCCAGGACTCCTGGGTTCTACCCCTGGCTCTGGGAGGAGACCTGAAAAGCAGAAGGCCCCATGTCCGATTCCCCGCTGCTGCCCCCCTGAGCCAGCCAGACCCCCGCCCTGGGGCCGGGTGGGAGCCAGCGGCCCTTTGAGGGGAAAGGCGCCGAACCCCATTCCTCTCACCTCTGGTGGTGCACATGCCGGGTGACGTATCTCCAGATCTCCGCACACTGGCCTGAGCACATCCTGGGGATACAGAGCAACAGCATCAGCCCCACGGGGACGCGACCGGAAACCCCTACGAGGAGCATGGGTTGCCCTTGGTTGAGGGCCGTATACCTCCCCCCACGTCCCTGCCCCAGGGCTGGATACCCCCTTTTCCTTCCCTCCCCCTCACAGGGCTCGGGGGTAACCTGGCAGGGGGCTGGGAGGCCCTTTTATGGGGGAGAGCGGAGTGTGTGTGTGTGGGGGGGGGCCTCTGGCCCCACAGCTGGGATATAATCAAGGGGCAGTGAATGGGGATGTGGGGGCAGCAGGGCAGTCAGGGAACCCATGGGGAAGAAAGGTGGAGGGCTGGGGGCTGGGGCAGGAAGGTACCAAGGAGCAGAGGAGCCAAGGGGGGTCCAAGGGGGGAGGAGGACCAGGGGGGCAGGATGCGAGGAGAGAGGGAGGCCGCCCCCACAGCGGGGACCCAGAAGGAGCAGGGGAAAGGTGGCCGGGGGGGGAGCCGCAGGAGCCCGCCGACAAGGAGGAAAACGGAAACCCGCGGAACAAAAGGAGACCGGGAGCATGCGGGGGGGGGGAGCGGGGGGCGGGAGGCGGAGGGTGCCAGTGCTGGGAGAGGGAGGGAGGGTCCGGGAGCTGGGGGGTCCCGCGCTGGGGGGGGGGGGCGGGGAAGGAGCCGGGGGCCCGAGCTGGGGGAGGGTCCGGGGGGGGCGGGAGCCGGGGGGGTCCCCGCGCTGGGGGGTCGGGGAAGGAGCCGGGGGGCCCCGAGCTGGGGGGGAGGGTCCGGGGGGGGGAAGGACCCGGGGGAGGGGTCCGGGGGGCGGAGACGGGGGGGGTCCCGCGCTGGGGGGGTCGGGAAGGAGCCGGGGGGCCCGCGCTGGGGGGAGGGTCCGGGGGGGCGGGTGAGCTTGGGGGTCCCGCGCTGGGGGGGGGCGGGGAAGGAGCCGGGGGGGCCCCGAGCTGGGGGGGAGGGTCCGGGGGGGCGGGAGACGGGGGGGGTCCCGCGCTGGGGGCCCGGGGCTCTCACCGGCGGAAGGCCCCGTCGGGAGCTTCAGCTCCAGCGCGGGCCCGCCCCGCTCCACGCCGGGACCCGAGCACCGAGCGCGCCGGCCGCTGCCGCAAGGCCCGCCGGGAGCTGGGGGCGGGGCCTGCCGCTGCTGGGGGGCGGGGCCTGCCGGCAGCCGCAATTTGCTGTTCCCCCCTTCAGGTGCGGGTCCCAGCACAGGCCCCAGGGTGGCCCCTCCCCGGTGTGTAACAGCGCCACCTGCAGGCTTCCGGCAGGACGAAGAGAAGGCGCAGCTCATGTGCCCTGCGCACTGAATTCCCGCGGGGAAGGTAAAAAAAAAAAAAAAAAGTGCTTGAGTCGCGCGTGCTGCAGGGGGCGCGAGCGGGGCCGCGAGGCCAGGGTGAGCAAGCCGGTGCCGTCAGCACGCTGCAGCGAAGGGGCCGGCTTCATGCAAATAGAGAGAATCTTCCGGGCAGAGAAACGAGTGACAAGGCGACCGCGAACAAGCTGGAGGAATGGAGCAGTTTTGAAGCTGAACTTTCAGGCCGGAGGCGGTTGGCTCCGACTGGTGAAAATGGAGCGGAAAGGCAAAGGCAGTCGGAGTCGAGTGGAAGTGGTCGGAGCATGGCTGTGGCGTTAGGGCCGCTCAGCGGCAGCGGTCACCGTGGCGTGGAGAGCGGTGGGAACGGGTGGGCTGCAGAACAGCTCAGCGGAGGGGTATCGCTTCTCGGCCTTTTGGCTAAGATCAAGTGTAGTATCTGTTCTTATCAGTTTAATATCTGATACGTCCTCTATCCGAGGACTATTTATTAAATGGATTTTTGGAACAGGGAGATGGAATAGGAGCTTGCTCCGTCCACTCCGCGCATCGACCCGGTATTGCAGTTCTTCCGGGAACGGTGCACCTCCCCTCGGGGAGATTATCGTGGTTCAAAAACAGATTCAATCGCTCCCTTTCTTTTCCGATCCCCAGGCATTCAACTCTTTAGTTTGCTCGTGGGGAGCGGCGGGTTGGTCGGCTGCGTTGAGGGTCTGTTGTAATCCTGGGAGCCGGGCGAGCAGAGCTTTTTGTGTGACTGGAGAATTATTTAAAAAGCCGGGACTCTGCTCTGCGCCGTGAGAGCTTTTAGCAGGAGGAGGCGGGAATCGGGGTTTATCAGGCAGATACTTCTTTATAGGCACGTGACCTTCAATAGTATAAAAAAAAAATAACCGCCTGATGAGCGGATAGACAGGTTGTATTCTTCTCCCCACCCAACAGCTGGTCCATGTGTTTTGATTTGTAAGCTCAAGTGAAGGCAGTAGGTGTGGTACTGCACCCAGCACGCAAGGGCCCCAATCCTCTGTAACAGACGTTCAAAACACTCCTGTGTAACTTCTGGTTCCTAGGGTGTGGCTTGGGACGGGACGCTTCAGGTGGCTGCCCGTTTCACAGTGCTCTGCAGAGCAAAGATTAAACTGTTTGTCTCCTCTCCCAGGAGAGTACGTTATGCAGTGTGTGTGACATGCTTTACAGCTGTGAAGTGCTCGGGGTTACTCTTCTGTGAAAGGTTTCAGAGGGGTAGCCCCGCGAGTCTGTATCCGCAAAAACAACGGGGAGGAGTCAACGAGAAACTGCGGCGCTGGAATTAATTTGCAAACTTGACACCATCAAACGGGGCCTGAATAGAGACTGGGAGCGGCTGGGTCACTACAACAAGTAATTTCCCCTCTGTTGATAGTCACACCTGCTTGTCAACTGTTGGGAAGTGGCCTCCTGAGCCCTGACCCGCCCCCCAACTTGGTAAGGCAACTCCCATCTTTTCATGTGCTGTATATTTATACCCGCTTACTGTACCTTTCACTCCATGCATCTGATGAAGTGAGTTATAGCCCACAAAAGCTGATGCCCAAATAAATGTTTTCGTCTCTAAGGTGCCCCAAGGACTCCTCGTTGTTTCTTCTGTGAAAGGCTGGTTTGTGGCAACGGTTTGTGGAGACGCTACCTATGCCACTGAAAGAGCTTCTCCCGTCCGCCTCGGTAGCGTCTCCACTAAATGCTTCAGTGGCCCAGCTGCAGCGCTGGGAGTGTGAGCCCCTGGCTGGGAGAAATCCATTGCCCAAGCTATCTCCCTAGGAGAACCCAGTCTACACCCGGGGGGGGGGAGGGGTTGGGGGGAGATGGGGCTAGGTCAATAGAAGGTGTCACTCAGGGAATGCATTTTACACCAACATCCATTGGAAGCGTAGACCAGGGCTCAGGGAGAGAGTTGTTTCCCCCTCCCTTGCAGTTTTTTGTTTTTCCACCAAGCTGTGAAATCACAACCAGCCCCAAGGGGAGAGAAGAGAGAGAGAGAGAGAGAGAACTGCCAAAATGAAGTGAGCTCTGGAGAGTGAGCAGAGCTGGCTGTTGTGACCCACGAAGGCTGCCGCCTTTCGTCTACACGGGGGCATTGACTGGCCTCCTAGAAGCAGAGTAACCACTGCGCTGTAGCTCTTCCAGTGTCACCCCCCGACACGGGCACTCTGTTCCAAATAAAAGCAACTTTAGTCCCCAAAATTACTACTCCGCTTCCAAAGCTATTCCGCTCTGGCCATGGCAGGAACTGTTCCCAGGTAGACAAGCACCTACATCTGCAGGGCTCCCACGCGACCGAGTTGATAGCTTGGGCATGTTCATTGGTGCCCCCTTAGAGGAAGAAACTGCTGAGGGCAGTGTTGTATTCTCCCTCTCTCCCGCCATCAGGCCTGCACGCCAACATAGTCCAGCACGTTATTTGGCTCCGTACAGGGGAAAATGGATAAAAGTCTATGGCCTGTGTTAAACAGGCGGCCAGATCAAATGATCCCGTTGTCCCTGCTGCCCTTAAAATCTAGGAATCCATTCTTGCAGCTTTACCTAGTCTGAGAGGCAGCGAAAGGAAGGGAGGGAAAGGCAAAGGAACCTTTGAGATGACAGCCCCTCCCCAATAAATGGCACGTTTTCAATACTTAAATATCAAACGGGGAACCCCCAGAGTCTTAACAGTCTCGGTCTCTTCTCCGCAGAGCTAGAGCGGACCAGCCCCTCAGAAGCTCTTTGGGGTCTAATCTCCTCAGAGACCGATTTATATTCAGAGCGAGGAACAGGGACAAGCAGCTCTCCAGCGCGTCACCCGCTAAGGCAGTGGAAACTGAACCGGACTTCTCTTTTCTGTTACGGGGATCTTCTCATGCACGCTCCACAAAAAGTCACAGGAGATAGGAACAAACAACTGGAAGAATTGCCGTTGTGAAATATATGCACCTTTCTGGATGTACTGAGCTCTGCTCCGCCAGGGAGACGGAATAGGAGCTTGCTCCATCCACGCCACACGTCGACCTGGTATTATTGCAGTACCTCCAGGAACGCTGCACCTCCCCTCGGGGAAACTACCAGTGGGGAAGGGATCGGGGGGGGGAGTGGGGAGAGAAGAGAAAAAAAAAAAAAGTTGAGCTGTGTGTTGGCTTAGGGTGCGGTGTCCCTCTTTGTAAGAGGCAGAGCTGAAGTGGGGCGCCGGCCTGTGATTTAGGAGATCTGGGTGCAATTCCCTGCTCCACCACAGACTCCCTTTGTTACCTCCGGTAAGTCGCATAGCTTCCCTGTGCCTCAGTTCCCCACCTGTCCGGAGGGAACAGCAGCCATGCCCTGCAGATTGCGAGGGGCTCAAATACTATTGTAATGGGGGTCCACTCAGTACCGAAGACAGGAGCTAGATCCTGTTCCATCTCGCGGAGCCGGACTGATACCAGACGACTGGGTGAAAAGCACTATTGAGAAGGGAAGTATTCTCACACTTGCAGAGTCTGAAAGACCAGCTTTGTTCTAAGCGCAGATGTTAATTTTAGATTTCTGCATCTTCCCCTCCCAGAGTCAGTGGGGGACAAGGAGCTCCTTGGCACCAAGGATTCAAGATCTACAACAAAGACTAAAGGCAGGAAAGAGGTAGACGAGCAGAGTTACGGGGTTGGAGTCTTTATTATTAATATTAATAGCAGAGTAGCACCTGGGAACCCAGCTGAGGTTACAGATCCATTGTGTCAGGCCCAGCACAGACATAGCTTGAGAAGCAGCCTTTGCTCCACAGACCTCAGTCTGTCCCGTCCCCCCGCCCCCCGCTCCTTTGAGAGGGGCAGGGGGCCATAAAACTAGAGATCAGACTTCTCCAGGTTAGAAAAATTAGGTGAGTAACACCTTCTGCACTGGTAGGGGGGGCAAATGCTGTGGTGATCCTATTGTATAGTTATGCAGGGCACCGGCACCCACCAGTCACTGATCTTTTACCTAAGAACAAAATAGTTCCCTTGTCCCCTAAACAGAACAAACCCTCCGAAACCCAAACGTGTGGGTCCCGCTCCCACTTAGGTTCAGAGAACAACTCGAAGAGCCTTTACTGAGCTTTGCGGGCAGTTGAGTGGCTTTCAGACATTCCTTGCTACCTGCTAATATCATCTGAGAAGCGAAACCAGTCAGTCCTCTGGCTTCTCTGCAGCTGAATAGCCACAGAGGGCTCTCAGGTCCCTTTCCTCCAAGCTGCCTCTTTGACTTTACACAAAAACAATAAAAAGGGGTTGCCTGCAATTCCGCTATCCCCGTCTCCGACTGTGGCCAGTACCAGCTGTTGGACAGAAAGGTGGGAGAAGCCCCAGAACGGGCAACGGTGGAAGCAGCTGCCCACAGCTAAGTTTCTCCCCCTCCCCACAACCCCATTACTCAGGTCTACACAGAAGCGTTCCGTTTTATAACCTGCAAAAACGTCCCTCTGACCAACAAGAACACTCTCCTTATTTTACAGATACACTCAAAGGCCTTGATCCTGCAAGGTGCCAAGAGCCCCACACACCTGGCATTCTCCAAAACCCACTGGTGTCACCCCACCCACTCCCCTTTGGACAAGCAAGGACACGCAGAGGACAGTGTTTGCCAATGCTTGGAACCCTACAGACATAGGAACCCCTCGAGACATAGAGGAAACCCACGGATCACCACACCTATCTTCCCAGATCCAGAAATCAGCAAGCAATGTGTGGTCCACCGGCAGGCACCCAGATCCCACAGAATACGCTCTGAGGAGACAGTCCGGGACAGGCACCTTAATACGCTCAAAACCGCCTTCGCCAAAGGGGGACACCCCACCAGAGAAGGACATCGCATCGTGGAATGGGCCACCCAGAGACACCAAGGAAACGTGCTTCAATACAGAAATAAAACCCCCGCCGACCGCACACCCCTAGTGCTCACCTACTACACCCTACGCTGCAACCCATAGGGGGTATCAAACAACTAAAACCCATAGGAACCCCATCCTGAAAGAAACCTTTCCTGAGCCCCACTTCTGGCCTTCAAAACAACCCCTAGTCTCTCTCCAAGCTCATCATCAGAAGCGAGCTCCCCACAGACCAGGACACACCAGCTCACGGCAG